CCTTTGATTGGAGAGCCTCAAAAAGTCTGGGAGAAGTTAGAAGGGGAGGGCTTGCAAAAGCTTCAGACAAGAGACCTGCAGCTTTTGCAAGGTATTTTAGATACACCCCCCAATGAAAAAAAAAAAAAGCATATTTAAATATGTTTTTTTAATTATATTCTTGTATTTTCACTTATGCAATTTTTAAAAAGCATATGATGATGTTTAGACATTGTGCTAGCAAATTAATAGTTTGAGAGAAAAGCCTATTTAAAAATAGGTTTTACTCTCACTTCTCAGTTAAATCTTTGCTCCAATGATTTGACGGGACAAGGGAGAGGAAACGTACTCCCACAGGAGGACTTTCGGCTCTCCCACGCATAGCATCCACAGCGCATGCTCTGTGGTTGCTATGGAAATTCCATAGACAGTGTTGCTAGGGTTGACTAGATAATACATTAAGACGCTGGCATCAAGGTCAGCATGTTGGTGTCACTGAGGTGGTTTGTTCTGATTGGGAAAGTGTTCATAAGCAGGTCAAATAAAAAAAAAAAAAAGACCAGAGGAGCAGCCAAGTATGTGTGTTACACAAAGAGGTATGGCGGATAAATCTAGTATTTTCCACTGAATACATAATTTATCTCTATGATATATGATGTATTCAATGTGGGGGCTAATTTAGCCACAGTTAATTTTTTTTTTTTTTTTTACAAGTTCACTTTAAGCCTGCCATGTTTTCAGTTCAGTCATTTTGGTCTTAAAGGACAACACTATTTAAAATTATGTTTTTGTTTTTTTTAATTCCTTGTATTTCTTCATTTTAGAATTCTGGGACCACATCAGGGATAACACAAAGCCAGTGTGCTAGTTTTGTGGGGAAGAGTGCCCTGGTACTGCCCCTGAATAGTTTAAAATGGGATCCACAGCTGCATACCAAATGGCAGTGGCAAATTGTGCCTGTGACGGACCCTCTGGTCACCTAGTTCAGATACATGTCTGCCCAACTTTCACCCTCTCTAAAATGACTATTATTACAATTAGCTGACCCTCTATCCCATGTCTCCCAACCCAACCGGACTTGTCCGCTGTCCCAGATCCACCCTTTACCAACCATGGAGCTGCTGAGACATGGTGCGCCTGCCCGGGATTAACCCTGAAGTCTTCTGGAACTCTAAAGCGAACTGCGGAGTCACCATGGTCAGTTGAAACTTAAATCAAATCAAAGATCTCTCTGCCCCTGGACCAGCAAACAGGGTGTTTTTGGAGGGTTGGCAGAGGGGGTGATGAAGCATCAAATGACACCAAGGACTCGGGGGAGCTCCATGTACACACAGAAAGCGCTGTTTTTAGGTTAACAGAGATCTCTACCCAGCACTCTGGAGCCCTGTGCTGGATTGGAGGCTAGCAGCGTAATGCTGAACTTTGAACTTCCATCTAATTCGGGCTATCCATATTCGATCCGGGTGATTTTTGGACAGAATGGGTGCTCCAGAGAGACCTTTATGGGGGTGCTTGGCTATATTCTGTATGTTATTTGCTTTCTGAGACAGATAATTAGTTTAACTGAGAGCTGACTCAATTATCTCCCAGACACAGTGGCACCTGGGCGGGCTTGTGTTACAGTGAATGGAGACCCCATGTTGAGGGTCTGTGTATACATTTGTGTGCTTTGATCTAATAAAACAGTTATTATTCACTAAGTCTCGATTAGTGCTTGGGTGAGATAGTTGTAAGTTACGCAGGAGGGTATAACCACTCTGGAGCTACAAACACCGGGAACGGACAACCTAGGCAGTAGTAACCCATCTTCTCGAGGGTATACCGCCACAGTGCCAACCGAATGCTTCTTGTTAAAGAGAGCACTGGATGCACAGCTAGTGATAACTACTGACTATTTTAGTATGATGTCCATAGTGGGTGTCTTAATTACAGCCACTGATGGCTTCATTATAGCAAAATGTACACTGTTGTAGATGAAAACAGTGCTGTTTCTGAAAAACAAGACTAATGGGACAGCATAAATGCCCCCAAAATGACTCAATTAAAGTGGTTATTTTGGTGCTTAGTCTGTCACTTTAAATTTGTAATTTCATTTGCATTCAGAAACCTTCACAATAATCTTATTTAGTCAATAATTAACAGGTGATTTCCTGACCATTTACAAACCAATAAATAAACCTTGCCTATTAATTCAGACTCCCTTGTGACTGTCTGCCCAGTAATTCACAGTTTAGTAAGTAACCCTGCTGGTGTTAATATTCTATCTAGATCATGAATTAAATAAAATGCACAAGTAACACGTGGGCTGGAATATTATTATATGTATGGAAATCATACATAATATTGTGATTTAGCAATTGCTATTGTCCAAACGGGTCTGTAGCATACAGCGCTTCAATAATTTCCTTATTTTGTTTGTTACAGCTAATGACAGATTAATCAAGCATTTGTCCAGGTCCATTTAAACCACTGAGCTATAAATCTCACATTTACTTCTCCCATGGTATGTTTAGCTGCTAATAATGTGTTTTATCACTATTTCTGGACCTCTGCTCTTTATAAGCATTGCAGCAGGTGGAGGAATGGGAAGTACTGAGACGAACCCTCATTCTGCCTATTACCTGGTTAAACCTCCTGTTTATAGTCCATGAGTTCAGAGCAGGGCGCCGCCATGTTCAATACCCATCAGCCACCGGGGCTTGGTCATGTGACAGCAGGCTGTGCAGTCTCCTGAAAAGATGTTGCTAGACAGTGATTAGTACAAGTTTGGCTGGTTTGTGTTGCAGCAGCAGCAGCAGCCAGATACAGCATGAGATCAGATTGATTTAACTCTTCCTAGGGTAACACAGAACTCAGGGATAACTGAGTATACAGTGGTGGTGGTGTTTTTTTTAATTCTGAACAGAAGTAGCACCCCCATGTGGTCTCTTAAAGGGGCTACTGTGCTCCAGATAAATTATGCCATGTCCCCACACAGGTTGCATGCCTTCAGATTAAAATAAACTTATTAGGAGGTGACAAGTTGGTATCATTAGTTTATTTGTGCAGGGTCAAAAAAACTTTATTGGGTACAATGTATCATAACTGCAAATGATACAATGCAGTCCTATAGACTGTAAGCTCCTCCTATAGAATGTAAGCTCGTTTGAGCAGGGCCCTCTTCAACCTATTGTTTCTGTAAGTTTTCTTGTACTTGTCCTATTTATAGTTAAATCCCTCCCCTCTCATAATAATGTAAAGCGCTACGGAATCTGTTGGCGCTATATAAATGGCAATGATAAAATAATGCTTTCTCCTCTGGGGTCTACCACTCAAAGGGTAGCAGGTCTGAGATATACAATGAGAGTGTTCTGTTCTGAAATGTTGGGAAAGGGAGAATCTACAATGAAATGTGCTGCTGATTTCACTGGTTTCCATGGTGATTGTCACACTTTAAAACAAAACTTTCGATCACTATTATTAATTTTTATTTTGTGCATTAATCCAGTCACAGATCGAATATGTGTAAACAGTGGCGTACACACAATCCATGGAGCCCCAGTGCGAAACTGACGCCTATAATTTGTGTAAACCTTTTTCATGTGGCGCTCTGTTTTATTTAAAACTTTGTATTAAAGGTTTAGCAGATTATACAAACAAATACCTTTCACGCAATTTATGTACTGCCATCGAAACTCCATCAGCAAAACTTGAAATTTGCCTTTAATTGCAAATGTATCTACCAAAGACTGTAATGCATTTGTTTTTCCTAGGCATATATCCAGTGATTGATTTAAATATCCTTTAGTTGTAGTCCACTTTTTATTACTGTGAATCAGCTAGGGATTGCGTCTGACTTGCTGATCTATTTTAATAAAGTGATTATAGGTAAACTATAATGAGATTTATAATCCGAAAATGAAAAACAGCAAGACAAATCCTGAAAAAGAAAATAGGATAAAGCCAAAGGGAAACTATGAACACACATATTGGGTTTTGTTCCTAACTATAGCATTATTCAGTAAAGTGAGAATTCTACATTAATTAATTAAAATGAGAATTTAAAGCGAATTTCATTTTTAGGGCCAAAATTGACAAGTTGAAAAAACATTACCTTCCAGCTATGCTTCAAGTCCAGCTATTAAGCGAAAATGTCAAATTCTATTTTAGTTCACCTTAGATAAACTTGTCACTTGGCCTCATTCTTTACTTTGAAAGAGACACTCAACTGCCAAAATAAAACTATAAAAAAATATCCCCAATGAAAACATGTATATATGCCTTTTTCAATTGGGGGTACATCTAAAAACAGCTTGTAAAACCTGCAGTTCTCTTGTCTGAAGTCTTTGCAAGTCCTCCCCTTCTAACCCCACCCGGACTTTCTGTCGCTATCCAATCAGGGCCGGCCTTAGGCCATTAGGTGCCCTTTGCAAAATGTCTTCAGCGCGCCCCCCCTGCCCCACCAAGTTTCCTGTATACAGTCACACACACAGGCACAAGCAGACAGTCAAACAAACATTTACAAGCAGTCAGACACACTCAGTTACAGACACAGTCACACACACAATTACAGGCAGACAGTCATACATGCTCCGTTACAGGCAGACAGTCACAAACAGTTACAGGCACACAGTCAAAAGCAGACAGTCACACATACTCCATTACAAGCAGACAGTCATACACACTCCTTTACAGGCATGCAGACACTCACGCAGGATGATAGGCACACACACTCAGTTAAAGGCAGATAGTCACACATACAGGCACACACAATGGCACAGCTACAGCGACACACACACAATTGGAGTCACACAAAGGCAGAGAGTCACACACACACAGGCAGGCAGACAGTCACACACAGGGCCGACCTTAGGGGTGTGCGAGCTGTGCAGCCGCACAGGGCGCCATAGACCAGGTGGCACCCTGACAGCCAACACAGCTTGCACATGGCGGAGTGCAGGAGAGCTAAAACTGGTACCTGTGTGGAGGATTTTATTATTTTCCACCCGGGTCTATTAAAAAAAAAAAATAATCGGGGGCGGGGCTTAGTGAGGGGCTTAGTGAGCAGCGGGGTGGGGATACATACCTGAAGCCCCTGGTAATACCTACCCAAAGCTGCACAGGAAGAGGAAAGCAGGAAGGCATCCTGCTTCCCCAACAACCAACTGCATCCACTACCCCTTCCAGCCATAATAGAAAGTGTTGTGGACAAAAATATTAACCCAATTTATGTTAGTAAAATGCCTATTTACTCAGCATAACCATAATCAGCATTATTCAGCGTTATACATGATTTACCTAAAATGGCCAATAGGGAGTTTCCCCTTGTCATTGACTAACACCCTCATTAACAAGATGGCGCTGGAATCTGGGGGAGACCTCCATGATGCCAGTGACATCACACCCGGTAGGAAGAGCAATAGATGAACCACTTAACACCTAACCAATTATTGATGTATTATTCCATGTTATCTCTGACAAAGCATATGATGTAATTTTGCTTTATAAGGGGCATGCCGTCCCCCCTAGAATAAACTCTTCCTCAAGTTTTTCATTAACCTGAAACCTGTGTCTGGTGTGAATTACTTCAGGAGCGTGCACGCATACTTTAATTTGGCCAGGGGCAGATATGCAAGATAATCAATTACTTGATTGATTTCACAACAGAAAGAGGTAAGTCTGTGTGTATGTGTGTGTGACTGTGACTGCCTGCCTGTGTGTTAGTGTTTGCCTGTTCATGTGTCTGCCTGCCTGTATGTGACTGTCTGTGTGACTGCCTGCCTGTGTATGCGTGTGACTGTCTGCCTGCCTGTTTGTGTGTCTGCCTACCTGTGTGTGTGACTGTCTGTCTGTGTGACTGTCTGCCTGTGTGTGTGTGTGTGACTGTCTGTCTGTGTGACTGCCTGCCTGTGTGTGTGTGTGTGTGTGACTGTCTGACTGCCTGTGTGTGTGACTGTCTGTGTGACTGCCTGCCTGTGTGTGTGACTCTCTGTGTGACTGCCTGCCTGTATGTGTGTGTGACTGCCTGCCTGTGTGTGTGTGTGACTCTGTGTAACTGCCTGCCTGTGTGTGTGACTGCCTGCCTGTGTGCGTCTGTGTGTGACTATGTGTGTGTGACTCTCTGCCTGTGTGTGACTCCAATTGTGTGTGTCGCTGTAGCTGTGCCATTGTGTGTGCCTGCACCTGTATGTGTGACTATCTGCCTCTAACTGAGTGTGTGTGCCTATCATCATGCATGAATGTCTGCATGCCTGTAATGGAGTTTGTAGGACTGTCTGCTTGTAATGGAGTATGTGTGATTGTCTGCTTGTGACTGTGTGTGTGACTGTGTGCCTGTAACTGTTTGTGACTGTCTGCTTTTAACTGTGTGTTTGGCTCTGTGAAAGTCTGCCTGTAACTGAGCATGTGTGACTGTCTGCCTGTAACTGTGTGTGTGTGTGTGTGACTGTCTCATGTAACTGAGCATGTCTGACTCTCTGCGTGTGCCTGTGTGTGTGACTGTATACAGGCAACTTGGTAGGGGAGGGAGGGCGCCCTGAAGACATTTCGCCCAAGGCCGGCCCTGGTCACACACACAGACACAGTCACACGCACACAGGCAGATAGTCACACATACAGGGAGGCAGTCACACAGACAGACAGTCACACACACAGGCAGGCAGTCACAAACACACATGCAGGCAGTCGCACAGACAGACAGTCACACACACATACACAGGCAGGCAGTAACACACATACACAGACAGGCAGTCACACACACACACCCAGGCAGACAAATGAACAGGCAAACAGTAACACACAGGCAGGCAGTCACAGTCACACACACAGACTTACCTCTTTCCATTATGGCTGGAAGGGGTAGTGGACGCAGTTGGTTGTTGGGAAAGCAGGACGCCTTCCTGCTTCCCTCTTCCTGTGCACCTTCGGGTAGGTATTACCAGGGGCTTCGGGTATGTATAAGCCCCGCCTCCTGATAAGCCCCGCCGCTTGTTAAGCCCCGCCCCAGCTGCCTCGATTTTTATTTTTTATTTTTACATTTTTGTTTTTAATAGACCCGGGTGGAGAATAATGAAATCCTCCACCCGGGTACCTGTTTTAGCTCCCCTGCACTCCGCCATGTGCGAGCTGTGTCGACTGTCAGGGCGCCCCCTGGTCCATGACACCCTGTGTGGCCGCACAGCTCGCACACCCCTAAGGCTGGCCCTGTGTCCAATCACAGATTCTTAATGCAGATTAACAAGAAGTATTTGCAAAGCAGATGCTCTGGGCAATTGCTGCCTCTTGATTTTAGTTCCGCTTAGCTAACCAAACCAGGAAGTAACAGGACCGTTTTTTTGATTGACAGACAAGGTTGTAACAAGTTTCATTTATATAAGTGCCAATTTCTATTGAAATCTGCACTTTTTGTAAAATGAAAAAAGAGGACACACTCTTCACATTTAAAGCTAAAGTGCTTTAGGAGTCCAGAATGTCCCTTTAAGCTGCAATGCATCACAAAATGTGCCTTTGGCAGGCTGAAACACGTAGAGTATTATTCACTAAAGTGAGATGTACCTGCAATACCCTTATGTTTGCTATCCTTATGTGGGATTGCCGGATCTTATGGAACACTATAGCGTTAGAGATACAAATGTGTATTCCTAATGCGCTATTGCCCTAGTCACTGTTTAGGTGACTGGACCCCCACTGCAAGGCTTTTGAGTCTACTTACCTTTTCTCCCTCACACCACTGGTCTCTGTTGTGCTGTTCCACCTCCATGCTACTCATGTGACTGTCTGATTGATATAGTGGAATTTTAATCTGCTGTTTTGGAGGAAGCAGCCTAACCCTGAAATGAAAACATGACTGTTCCTGCAGAATTACAGTGATTTTTGTCTAAGTTCACCCCAGTCTCCCTACTATCTCTGGAAGAGCTGGGGGGACCCAGTGAATCCTCCCCCTGGGGTTCAGTGGGTCTCCTGAGATCACGGTACACTTCCTGCAGCTTCCATCCATGCCTTGCAGTGATGCTGTGGTTGGAGTGATGTCACATCCCAGCTGCCAGCACCACTACAGGTTTCACGAGGAAGCTGTGCAGGAAGATCCCAGTGACAACCCAGCTTCCTTGTTGTCCTTTCCCCAAAACAGTATATTTGGACAGAGTATGACATGCTGGTAGGCAGGTGCTTACTCTGCATAGTGAGATGCCCCCCCCCCCCAAAAAAAACAGCTGCGGCAGTGATGGCTTCCTTGGCTGCATTAGACTTGCACTGCCCCCGTTTGGGACTGGATGCCATGGATTTGCATGAGGCAATCTTAATTAGGAAAACAGGTCATAGGTTACCAATCCCTGGTTTAAAGGGTGCTAATTATTACATTAGAAGGCTGTGAGCATTTGTTGTAGGATGTCATTTGCTCTAGGCAAGATATCGGCAAGATTCCTTTTTACTAGCAGACATAAGCAGAGTTGGTGCCAGACTTTTTTTTCCCTCCTAGGCATAAAAATGTGTTCCCCATAAGCATCACCCATGTTGTGACCTCATCTGAGCCAAGCCCCTGAATGCTCCACCTTGGTGTGTCCCACCCATATCATCTGACACCGACACTTACACAAGATCACTAGCACAAACATACACTCAAGCTGTGACACTTGGCATTCACATGTTCACTACACACAACTTCACAGAAAAGCTCACTTTTGCACACACACTAGCTCACTACAAACAAGCTCACTGACACTCAAACACAAGCTCACTACATGTTCAAGCTCACTGAAACACACAAACACATACAAGCTCACTACAGACAAATTTATTGATGCACACATACAGCCACATGCTTACTGACATACATAAACTCGCTACAAACAAGCTCAGTGGCACACACACATTCACTGCTACTCACTGCATGCTGGCCATTTTACACTTTTTAATACTTTGATGGTGGACTGTGGAATGTTGCCTCATACTTCTGGTTGCCATTTACCAGGGCTCTTCTGTCGGTTGGTTGTGGCATGGTGGAGGTGTTGGGCCACTGCAGTGAGCCTACAGAACTCCCACTTCTGTCTGTCCTGCTGCCTGTCAATTACCTGTACTGCCCTGCTCCACTTCCTTTCAGTCCCAATGGTCCCTCCCTCCCACGTGACTGTCCCAAGCACAAGGCAGCTTGTAGGAGGACACAGGTGTGGTGCATTCGGACTGCCTAAATTAAAAGGATCGGTTGCAGCAAGTGCGGTGGACACTGCATCTGCGTAAGTGATGGCTGCGTCGCAGCAATTGGCAACCAGGTGCCATCCGGAAAGCACCCTTTACTTGTGTCTGTGGCCAGTATTACCATCTATTATTGTGTTTGACAGACCCAGACGCTGTTAAAGCTGTCGGTACGCCCTCTGGGAACTGGCGTCCTTGGCCCTCCCTCCACTAGAGGTGGAGTTAACCCTGGCAGTTAATTATCACACTTTATTGAAAACTGCAATAATTACCATTGCACGGTTAAGGGACCTCAGACACTGCACCCAGACCACTTCACTGAGCTGAAGTTGTCTGGGTGCCTATAGTGTTCCTTTAATATAATTAAAAAGAAAACATTTTTTAAAAGCAATCCATGAAAAAATGGTTAAGGCAAATTCTAGTTGATTTTAAATGTGGTTTGTCCTCTTGAAGACAATGGTGGATATCTTTTCGAAACCAGCTTGGCTCTATCTCTAAGAAAGTGTGTCCGTCATTGAGGTGTATTTCTGAGATAAGACTGCATCTCAACATGTGTTAGCTAGAACGATTTTTATTCCACTTTTATAAAAAATAAAAAATAAAATGCTAAATAGCTTTAAAATTGATCCAAAACATGATATAGACCGTTTTTAAAGAGCTGCATAATGGTGTTTAGACATTGTATTTCGATGACAGTACTACTTTAATGTACCAAATGGACACCTGTTATTAGTCTGGTAAACCTAATGGTTTATAATTCAGAGAGTTCTGTAATCTCAGACTTTGGGCGCTTTCATCTGTTAACCTTAATGGGAACTTATAATATTTAACATTTACAGATACTGCAATTACTGGGAAATATTTTGGAGAGAAATTGTGTCTGGGATACGTGTACCAAATTTTATTAGGTCTGTAAAATATTCAATTTATTGAAACACATTAATTTCAAGTCCACAATAAAATAATAATGCTTTTTAATATAGAGAAACACGCAGCAGTTTAATCATATTGTCAGTAATATCTGCATATGTGAATTTTTCTCTATTTATTTAAATGTGCATAGAGGTTTGGGATAGTAACTTTTGTTTCATTGGTTTTTATTGTATGTATTGGGGAAGATGTGTAGTATAGCCATTGCTGCCGCCCAGGGTTAGTGGGAGTTTGAGTAGTATATGTTTGTATTTGCTTTTGCATTACACAGACACGTTACAGTGCTGTCGCCCACCACGTGTGTCCCCTATCAGGGGTTAATAAGTATGTAAAGGTTTTGAAAAATATCCTTCTCTGTCTCATTAGAGATTTTACCTTTTTGCTAAAAGCAGCAAGGTGAATTGTTATTATAGGACTCACCTAAGAGGTTTTGCCGTGACGTGGCAGGTGAGCTTATAATTGAATGGCCATTGGACTGATAGTAAAAACCACCAGTTATTAAAACATGCAATAGGGATTTGGGATTGTGTGCAACTAAATTGTTACCTGGAATTTTCTGTTTTGTCTTAACAGGTATGGAACTGGATATAGTTAAAGGAACACTATAGGGTTACGAATACAAATATATATTCCTGACCCTAAAGTGTTAAAGCCACCATTTATGTTGCTTGCCCCCATCTGAGAAGTGTAATGTAGCTTTTGTTTCTTTGAAAAGGCAGTGCTTACATAAAAATGCCTGCAAAGACTGTCTATACCCACCAGAAAAAAAATACATGAAGCTGTAGCTGTCCTGGTGACTACAGTGTCCCTTTAATTTAATTATTTTGAATGTTGTCAATCCCGATCAATTTATAACTTTGAAAATATCCTATCTGTTTCCTTGTTCTTTTCCTTTTAACAACTTGGATAAACATTGTGTTCAGCCCTGTTTCATAAAACTGTATAAATAAGCTCAAGCCAACATAGTTACACCTGCTACCAGCTCATTCAGCAGTTCCATTCTTTTTATGTGATCAATAGAACAGTGCCAATTGCTGAAATATTATCAGGTTAATTTACTAAAGTGACAATTCAAAGTGAATTTCAAATTTAAAGGGACCCCATAGGCATTGGACCACCTGATCTCAATGAAGTGGTCTAGGTGCCGTGTCCCTGTCTGTTTAAAGGAGCACTAGAGTGCCAGGAAAACAAACTAGTTTCCCTGGCTCTATATAGTCCTTGGGTCCTCCCCTCCCTCGGAGCCCACCTCCTGCTGGGCAGAAGGGGTTAAAACCCCATCAACCACTTACCTTAATCCAGCGCCAGGCTTTCTCGGTGCTGGTGACCTCTCCTCCCCCTGCCAGAGCCGCCCGCGCATTCAAACCACCCATAGGATTCAATGCTTTCCTATGGACGTCCAGCGTGAGTTGAATGCGATTTTCGCACTGAGAATCGAGGAGGCGGCCTCTAGTGGCTGTCAGGGAGACGGCCTCTAGTGGCTGTCAAGGAGACAGCCGCTAGAGGCTGTATTAACCCTGCAATGTAAACATAGCAGTTTCTCAGAATCTGCTATGTTTTCATCTGCAGGGTTAAAACTAGAGGGACCTGGAACCCAGACCACTTCATTGAGCTGAAGTGATCTGGGTGCCTATAGTGGTCCTTAAACCTTGTAACTAAAACATTGCAGATTTGCAGGAATGCAATGTTTTCATTGCAGAGTTTATGTTCCTGGCGTGGCTTATTCCATCTGAAAATGCCCTATAAGGTCCTATTATTAGGTGAACGTGTCCCCTTTAACGGGATCCACTCCCCATTCTGATGTCATCTGGCACTTGCTTTGTCCAATCACAGGCTTGGACCAATCACAGAGAAGCCTGTGATTGGACAGTTTTGCCAGTTCATAGCATATGTGCGCAATCCGAGCCGACGAGTGGTGGGGGCTGTGATGTCTATTTTTAATTTTACTTAATAAAAACCTATTTAAGTGACAGAGGGAGGCGGGAGCTAGCTTCCCCTTGGAAGAGTATTACGTCTATCACTAGCGTGCAGTGCAGGCTCCTGACAGGCGTAAAATTTGCACAGAATTGTCCTTGAACAAAGTTGCAGACTGCCTAAGTTACGTGTGCTGGTGGTGTAACTAGCCACTGGGCCACAATGGAAAAACTACTCTGCACGTGCGGTGTTTCAAGGCGAAACTTGGAACATCCAGACTCCAAACACCATAACTACTTTAAATCACTGAAGGGGTCATGGTGGTTGGTGTAACCCGTTAACTTTTAAACCCCTGCAATGGAGGGGGCGGATACCTACATAGGTAGGGGATCACTATAGTGTTCTGATTGTTGGTATTCCTAATTATATAGTTTTCCTTTAAGGCTTAACTGGAAAATACTCTAAATTAGCTATGCTTTCACTTTGGCTGCCCTGGAATTTTTCTCTTATAATCATACCCCTTAGACCAGAAAACAGACTCACTGCTGCTGCTTTTATATGACCTCATCTGCATAATACATTTAAAAGAAATTTGGGATTTTCCAAGCCTGGACCTTCAAGCAACTATTATATTTCAGCAATGTGTGAAAACATGGAAAAAAAGTACATTAATATTTCAGTTATTGCAGTTGTTGGTACGTTTAAAGGGCTACTCCGAGCACCTTAACCACTTCAGAGATTTAAAGTGATCATAATGCTTGGAGTCTGTATGTCCAGCGTTTCAGTAAGAACTCTGCAGATACATAGTCATTTCATTTTTCTGTTGGAGGTGTAAGTCCACCTTGAGCAATTCTAGTAGCAGCGTGTACCAAGCGTTCCACAAGGCTTATGAGTTCTGTGCATCAAAGGCATTCACCATCGACATTCATTGTATGTGACAGATGGCCAATAGCAGCATGCCCCCCCTTCTTTCCTTTCATGCAGGGGTGGCCATTAGGTAGATCCCTAGATGTTTCAAAAATACAGCTTCCACTATGCTTTTTCATTCTGAAGGCACTCAAAGCATCATGGGAGTTGTAGTTCAGCAACATCTGGTATCTAACTTTAGGGGACCCCTGCTTTAAAGTATCCTTTTTTATGCATAAATAAAAAAAACAAAAAAAACTGTGTGTAAAGGATTGTCACTAAAAGTGAAAATCGAGCACACAGAGGTCAGGGATGGTGATACCAGATCCACCAAAGGGCATGAACCCAATATTAATTAGATAACAAACTGGATAAATATAATGAGTCCCCCATAAGGGTGGGACTCAGTCTGGTTTTGAAATAAAGTCAGGGCTAGGAAAAACCTAACAGTGGTACAATCTGTGACTAAACCGGGGATAGACACGGAGTTGTGGCCCTAAAGTTAGACAAAGACCTTCGTGACGTATAGTCCCAGATGAGTGCCGTAAATAATGAAATCCAAAACTTTATTAATATGTACAGAAAAAAAAGGCACTCCATAAAGGGACTCATTGGTACATGGCAAGGGATATATACAAATCGTCTAAAAATCCTCTGTGTTTTAAACAGACAATCCTGTCCTTAACCCCTTAAGGACCAAACATCTGGAATAAAAGGGAATCAGGACATGTCACACATGTCATGTGTCCTTAAGGGGTCCTTCCTCCTTTTCTTATTTTATTTAATTCACTGATTGTAGCACTGGGTGGTTAACACTTGTATTCACCTGACTCATTAGCATGGAGTTTCGATTTGGTCCTAAGGGGTACGTGGGAAGTCTCAGTTTTATCATATAGGGACAGCTTAGAACACCCTCGAAGGTGTTACTCTAGGAGCTGCAGGGTCTATAGTTTAGTAATGCCTCTCTCTTCGTTCCTGAATTTGTAGGGATTAACCTGCAGTATTTCACTTAGCATCTAACACCCTTAAAGGTGTTGTTATAGGTCCGTTATAGACTCTAATAGCCTTATCTCCTTTCCTGTTTGCTTCCTGACCTTAGGGTTACACTCAGCAGAATCTGATGATTACTAAGGCATCAAATAAGATTGCTATTGATTTCCAACCAGTTCTTACCATTTGCACATTACAGATTTAAGAATTAGACCCCTAGCAGCTTTGGGTGGTGTTCCTATCAATTACTGTATAAGACCAACCCACTTACACACTATTTTTTCGTCTAGCTGTTGCTTTTCAGACTAACCCAGTAAGACTCCTGAGATTTTGTTGTCTATTATATAACTTTTAAAATATGTCTATGAGTTTTGGGCGTATGTCTATATCTTAAGGACAGTATTGTCTGTTTAAAACACAGAGGATTTTTAGACGATTTGTATATATATCCCTTGCCATATACCAATGAGTCCCTTTATGGAGTGCCTTTTTTTTCTGTAGATATTAATACAGTTTTGGATTTAATTATTTACGGCACTCATCTGGGACTATACTTCACGAAGGTCTTTGGCTAACTTTAGGGCCACAACTTAGTCACAGATTGTACCACTGTTAGGTTTTTCCTAGCCCTGACTTTATTTCAAAACCTTATGGGGGGCTCATTATATTTATCCAGTTTGTTATCCTTTTTTATGCAACAGTATACTTTTACACAGCTTTTAGCTTGCCTTGTATACTGTGCGGACCTACAGCCCTTTCGTATGTCCAAACTGAAATCATTTATCATATCATACCACTGGGTGGCAGCAACCAAATACATCATCTTTTCAGCATCCTGTTGTACTATGCATTCACCACTCACATGTTATCTCTTGCCTCACTCTACTTCATTTCTCTTGATTAAATTGAAGAACCTGTGCATCGCAGGTTTCAGTTCCATGTATATGTGAATACATTTTGCCTTGAACGGCTTAACGTGGAGTTTTTTTTTTCCATATTATTTTCAGGTCAAGTCGCTTGAATGATAGGTTGATGCAGACATTTGGCTCATGCCTGGTTTGTTTTGTTGTTCTTGTCTGTTTTTGCTTGATGTCTTTGTCATGGTATATAATACCCCTGGGATCCATTGCTGCTGCAGAGACGTTGGGATCCAGCGGGCCTTTATACTGTGAACTATGGTTCACAGTATAAAGAGCCTGCTCATACCACACAAACTGGTGTAGGGCTTTATGCTACTTTCCCCCCAAAAGAGCTACCTCACTCCCTTATCTCCACCTCTATGTCCCTCTACCCTCCAGGCATCAAAGCGCCCTTTACCACTCTGTGTATCCTTTCATGTTAACTGAGTTGGATCTGATTACACCAGTGGGTTTCGTGCCGACCGTTTGTAACTTTCGCTCAGCCAGAGGTCCGACAGCTACCCGGTACACGTTTAACCACACACCACTCCTAAACAAGGTCACCGATGAGAGCAGTGCTCAGGGTGGAGGACTACCGAAAACCACAAAGCCAGTGAGTCCCTTTCTTCTGACCTGCAACAGCGTAGAACTCTGTGCCGGATCAGAGGTTAGCTGCATCCTGTTGGAAGTTTATTCGATGATTACTCTTACTGTATACCTCTGACCAAGCGCTTTTTGAACAGTTTTTTTCATGGGAGCTAGCCCTGTACGGGGATGTAAAACCTGTCTATGTTATGTGTTGGAAACATCATGTTTTGGAGATAATATTGTAAGGTGCCCGGTTGTCTGGGAGTTAATTAAATTATCCTGTCATTGGCGGTGGTACAACGTCTGCGTACAAGGGCTCCGTCACAGTCATTGTACCCAAGGAGTCCTAACCTGAGTTTCAGGTGGTGACTTAACATTTTTCACTGGAACACACTTACCTGTTTAAAGGACCACTCTAGGCACCCAGACCACTTCAGCTTAATGAAGTGGTCTGGGTGCCAGGTCCTTCTAGGGTTAACCCATTTTTTAATAAACATAGCAGTTTCAGAGAAACTGCTATGTTTATGAATGGGTTAAGCCTTCCCCCTAATCCTCTAGTGGCTGTCTCATTGACAACCACTAGAGGCGCTTGCGTGCTTCTCACTGTGATTTTCACAGTGAGAGCACGCCAGCGTCCATAGGAAAGCATTGTAAATGTTTTCCTATGCGACGGGCTGAATGCGCGCGCAGCTCTTGCCGCGCGTGCGCATTCAGCCGACGGGGCGGAACGGAGGAGGAGAGAAGGAGGAGAGCTCTCCGCCCAGTGCTGGAAAAAGGTCAGTTTAAACCCCTTTCCCCTTTCCAGAGCCGGGCGGGAGGGGGACCCTGAGGGTGGGGGCACCCTCAGGGCACTATAGTGCCAGGAAAACGAGTATGTTTTCCTGGCACTATAGTGGTCCTTTAAGGTGCTAACATGAAGTACAGCTGTACACAATCTTTACAGACCCTATTCCTTGTCCCAGTGTCCACAACTCTTGATAAAAGTTTATCAATAGTAAACTACAGAATTTCAGAAGAATTGTAGAAGTTTTTTTTTTTTTTTTCCTCTTGATTTCGTGTTAGTAAATACAAGGTTGCATGGACATTATGTACCGCTGATGACTAGGTCAAATAAAATAATTATCTTTAATTTATCACAGAAACTTGGTTAAGATCTCACTTTGACTAAGTCATTGGCGTTTTGGTTCCAAACTGTGGCATCTTTAACATATAATGGTATACATGTATTTAGCATTACAATGGAAGGAATAGCCTTGTTTCCATGTCACATTATTGTCACTTTATTGTGTTTATGGATGTGTTTCATCTTTAATGAATTAAATTAATGATTTTGTTACTAAAGTTTATTTTTAGTTTTTTTTTTAAATGTTTTAGTATATTTTTTTTCACAGCAGCATGTCTATGAATGTGATAATTTCTGCTCCTTCTATTTCCCCAGTCTTGTGTTTTTATTTCCAAGTGCCAGTTAGCTGTAAGCTAAATAATTACAGCAAGCAGAATACGTCAAACCTTAAAGGGACACTATAGTCACCAAAACAACTTTATCTTAAGGAAGCCGTTTTGGTGTATAGATCATGATCCTGAAGTCTAACTGCTCAAATCTCTGCAATTTAGGAGTTAAATCCCTTTTGTTTCTGTCCATGCAGCCCTAGTCACACCTCCCCTGGCTGTGACACACACCATGCATGAAAAAAAAATGGTTTTACTTTCAATTAGATGTAACTTACTTTAAAAGTTCTAATTGGCTGCTCTCTAAAGTGAACTTTAATCATACACAGAATGCTTCTGTGGGGTCTAGAAAGCTATGAACTGTGCAGGGGATAATACATTTTAAATTAAATTGAATTTGCAATGAAGGAAGTATAAACATTAGCTGACTCTTTACAGGAAGTGTTTAGGAAGGCTGTGCAAGTCACATGCAGGGAGGTGTGATTAGTGTGCATCAATAAAGTGATTTAACTCCTAAATGGCAGAGAATTGAGCAGTGACACTGCAGGGAAATGATCTGTACACCAAAACTGCTTCAATAAGCTAAAGTTGTTTTGGTAGCTATAGTGTCCCTTTAATAAGGAATTATACAAGCCCTTGTATATTTTATAGAGCGCTAACTGGTATTATTGGATCTTTACAAATTATATTACACTGGAAGGGAGATAAGTGGTAACATGCATATGTTATTGTTTAGAGGCTACTTACAGTTAGGGTAGGTATCGTAAAAAAGTATAGGTATGTTGTATTTATATACCACAGGTGTATTGAGCACTTTATTGATTACAGTTAGCCAATTACATAAAGTCTATATATCGTTATTATGAAGCACTTATATTTGTACTCTGTATTCAACAGGTTACATTGAAGGGGATGTGTGATAAATATTTTTTTGGTATTTAAAAGCCACTGGGAGCTAGACAAAAAAAACAAAGAAATGTCATGTTACAAGTCTTCAGAGATATCACTAGTACTATTTATTAATTTAAGAAGGGTGGAAAATTGACAAGGGAATTGCAAATTATAGATCAAAAAAGATAAAATTTTTCTGTTCTATTTTGACCTTTAACTTGCAATTCCCTTTCCAATTATCTGCAGTTCAAACCTGGAAGTTTACATCAAGTCTCAATGACATAAAGCCAATGTATGGCTGAATTGCTTCTTAAAGGAGCACTCTAACCCAAAGGTGTTCACAGAAAATTTTCCAAGTGGGGAGAAAAACTACAATGTATGTAGACCCTATTTAAATCAACAGAAAGCCAAATCTAGGGCGGGGGCGGCACTTGACTGCTCTTACAAAGTTCAATAAGTCCACAAATGCTTGGGAATTTCCTGGCTGGTAATCGTCCAGATAATTGTATATATGTGCAATAATACAGAGAATAACCGGTGATAGTACAGCTTTCTGTTAAACTATTATAGAGCAGTTAAAGAAATGAGACTCTCCCCAGCCCCTATAACCTCTTCTTCTCATTTGTACTGAAATTGTGTAAACTACACATCAGCATTATCAAGTGGGATTTTGTCTAACCCAGATGGCAATAATCGGAATAGAGCACTGGGCTAATTTGCCAATGTGACATTGTAACCAATACGTTTTATGTAACATTGTAAAGAGAAACCGTATTGAATATGTTGTTTGGAAAGTACAGTATAGTTGATGTTTTCTGTCTTTGTATGCTTGCGCACCTTATTCTATATGTCCTTCCAGTGTCTCTGCTTCCATGGTGTACGTGACACCGTTAACTCTCCAAATCAGTCATTGCAGTTCCTTATGGTCAGCAACCAGTATTGTTTTACAAAAACCATATTGTCGAAGTTATAAAAACTATAGCACAGACGAGAGATTGAAACCTTTAAGATGGGGATTTAACAATATCAGAAAAGAACATAAGTCCATTTGTGGAAAAATAAAAAGATACAAGATTTCAATAGAACTTTTGGGGAAAAGTTAAATCTGATTCCTGAGATTATGAAAAAATAAAATAATTTTTTTTCCATTTATTAAGAAAATGAGTTTGCGCTTGGTGTGCAAAGAATGTCGTTTATTCACAGGTTTGTGTAGAACACTCCATAAAATGGCAGAAAAATATTCCGTACATACTCTTGAGATGATAGTTATTACATTAACATTAAAAAAAGAATCTTACATTCAAAATATGAGTGGAAACATTTCCATTTCATTATTTTTTTTTAAATGATTTCATTTGTAAACAATAGCCTTTGGAATGTCTGAAATAAGTTCTGTATCTCAGGCACAAATATATATATATATATATTTTATTTTTGTATGTACAGGAGGGTCGATATCTTCATTACTTCTGGTAATTTTTAAAATACTGCTCCAGGATTTTCCTTAATATTCGCTGGGAAAGAAATAAACATAGATACTGGTTAGCATGGGGTTGAAATTCAGACTCAACAGCTGTTTGTGAACAAGCAAACCTATAGCATTTTAATAAAGGGCACAGTATTCATTAACATTGGCACTACGGCCATCCATCTATCTAGCCATCCATCTTTTGCAGGGTTAGGCAACCCTTTGGTACTCCAGATTTCGTGGACTACATCACTCCTGATGCTTTGACATCATTTTGGCTGTAGAAGCATTATGTGAGATGTAGTCCACACATCTGGTGCAGAAGGTTGCTTACCCCTGATCTATCCAATGCATACATACATACACATACCTCTCAACAATCCTGGATTCAGAGAAACAGTCCTGATTTTCGGGTTCTTTCCAACCACCCTGGGTTTCCTATATGATGCCCTGCTTCTGGGGTCACCAGAAATCACGTCCCTAGAAACCACTGCATGATCACGTATTTAGACATTCTTGTGTTGCCCATAGTACACAGTCAGGGAATTGAGCCCATGCGAGTGCTTCCAAATTTCTCTGCAGATGAGCAGCCCTGAATGAGACTGGTCTGTGTGCTTGTCTAGCTGACATGGCCCCTTTTAAGAGAGCCACTCTTTTCCAGATATGTCTATCCCTTTCCAGGGTGTGCGGAGGGCCTGCTCTTCAATTCTACTCCCTTCTGCCTTGCCCCCTTCCCACATCCATGGTTCCCAATGTTGGAAGGTACACATACATACATACATACATGTTCAAGCAGTGAGAATAGAGCTATTGAACTCACCTCATATACACACATATGTAGAATCCTTAACTGAAATTTTTGAAGGAGCTTCGGATAGGTTGGATATGTAGACTAGGGCTTTGCAATTGTTCCATTTATCAGAAAATTTTAATGGAACAACTGCAATCAAGCAACTACTACCAACTTACTGACTCATGATTTTATGACTTAAGCCAAACACAACAATATTATTGAACAGCTGCAACTCCAATGTCTTCAGACAGCTGTGATGGAGCCTGGGTGCCAAATAACCCTGGGCAGGCCTCTCCTCTTCCATTTAATCTGTACCTAAACATTCACATTCATACCTGTGGGCCTTGCAGTTGGCTGGATGATTGTGCTCTGCGCTGCTCTTGCAGTAGGGCCGTTCTCATGCTATCTACGTTGCGTGGAGGAAAGATGGCCGACTCTTCTAATCCTTGGTCACTGAAACTGTATGAGTCCTGTAGGCTCTTCTTACCCATGAAATGTCCTGGTAAAAAACAGTAGAAACTTTATGGTTAGTGTGATATACGTTGGCTAATATGTTAGTTACAAATGTGTCACATTTTCAGACTACTATAAATTATGAGAGCACGCTTTCAATACCAAATCATTTCATTTAATATAGGGCATCCTCTGAAAGATAAGGTGCATTCTCAAGGTGCCAATAAATTCTGTAAAGATCATCTTTAATATCGTATTAGTAATATTGCGTTCTGCCACTTTGTACTACAATATAATTACATGATCCACCATTGTGACATGCTAAAAGAACTAAACTGGCTGTCGCTGGAATCCAGACGCACCCTTCATCTTCCCAGCCTTATGTTTAAGAGCTTTTCTGGGAATCTCCCACCCTACCTGAGCAGAATGCTCTCCCCGGCTGTTCCCACTTACTATAACCTCCGATCCAGTACCAGCACTTTATTTAGTCTACCTCAATACAAAAAGAAAGCAGCCCGATCCTCCTTTTCCTACAGAGCGCCGCAATTATGGAACTACCTCCCGCACATCTTCCCCAGGCCTAAAATCCTTTAAGAGATCCCTCTCTACACAATGCACATGTTATGGTTGATTATATGTTCTTACCTGTTCTATGTTAGATTTTGTATACATTATGTATTAATATTGTTTTTGTATTTTATTGTACCCTAGTGTATCAATGCAATGTTTTGTGAACCCAGGACATACTTGAAAACGAGAGAAATCTCAATGTATCCTTCCTGGTAAAATATTTTATAAATGAATAAATAAATATCTTTCAATTGATCAAACAATCTACAGATAGATATATGATGTATATAGGAAAATCATAATAAACTATCTGACCAAAGGTTGAGTGGTTCCTATACGTCTCCAGGACGCCAGAATTCCGAGGTTGTGGTAAAAAAATAGCGACAAGTTTGGAAATCTTGGTAAATAGCTAGCGCTGCAAAATACTGGCTGTTAATGATGACAGTGTGTGGCTGTTTATTACCAATAAGATTGAAAATGGCCCTTTCTTCATCCTGGGACATTCTGCAGTACAAGCTTAACTAGGACTCTTGCATGAGGTACCTGTTACAGGGGAAGATGCAAACTTAATGGAGCTGGTCAGGACTCCGAATTTTTTTTTTTAAATTATGTATATATATATATATATAATCTCAATAAAATATTAAACAAAGATCTGCACACCAGTCAAGACATAAGACTTACTTTTCCCACAGAAATCACAAATTTGCAGTGATGTTACTACCGCAAAGGATTCTGGGTGGGCATATGCAATTAGGTCAACATTAGGTCATAACATTTTAAATATGGATTTCTTGGAGTGTGTTTGCTGTATACAACAGTTTTAAAAACACAACTTAGGAAAAGATGCAAAGTTAGTGAAACACTCATGAATATATTTATATAGGCTATATTCACCTAATCATGCATGTATACATTGTGAGGGCATGGACCTGACAAAAATCGGGCTCATTGGCAGTATGTTCATAAATCATATACCGTAACCCCACAAGAGACGGTTTTCCGTTTAAACCTGTGGGTTTTGAAGTTTATCATTTGCAAAATTCTGGATGTTATATATATTTATACTTAGAAATATACCCTTTCCCAATATCCAATTGGACCAGTTTATGGATTCAGAGTGGCCATTGAGTGATACAAGGACCTATACAGCCAAACACTTAATTTTAATGCTAGCTCCGCTGGTCCACGACCATTACCCTTTTACCCTTCCCTATTGGTGTTTGACTTATTTTTCTTGCATAACCCGTCACTTTAAGGAGTAGCGATAAGTATAAGCAACTTAATACGCTAGATAATGTGCACAGCCTGACTAAAGAATTTGAGTACCCTGCTTATGACACTGTCAACTGCACTAGATGTTCTGGTGGAATTTGTATCAGGCTGACTCGTTTCGCAATATCTGTTAATTGTTGTAACAATGGTTGATGCTTTGCTGTGTTGTATTCCATTGCATCTTTTTTTTTATTACTTTGTCTCTTTTATATGAAAACAAAATAACTATAAATAATGTTAAAAAGAAATATAAAGTCACATAATTGTGTTTTACACAACACAGAAACCTTCTTGATAAATTGGCAGCACAGATCTGTCAGAATTTGTTGGACAGATTAAGGCTAAGTGCAGCACAGCGTGTTTAATACTGAACTAACCAAGAATCACAAGGCATCGGAGTTTATAGGCGAGACCTCGGCAGTAGTCTAGGTATTGGCAGCTCTGCCTGACAGGCTGTCATCCTGGTATTCATGCATGCAGGAATGGTACACCCCTTGGGCACATCACAACTGACTCTAATTGACTCTTTGGCATGCTCTACCCTACCCCTCCTTCTCCATTGTCATGCTAGCTAAAGTTGGCAAAAATGATCTGTTATTATTTTTATTAATATATATATACACAGCACCAACACATTCCTTAGTGCTGTACAATTATACAGTGGAGGTATATAATATGACAGACAATGTAAAGTTGACAGAAATGTAAAGTGTAGAGGAAAAAAGTGTAGAGGACTCCAATATTAGGTGACCACTAAAGTCACCCACACCACATCATTTCAGTGAAGTGGTCTGGGTGCAGTGGTCGTGACATTTTAACCTTTCAATCTAAAACAGTTTGTAGAAACAGCAATATTTGCATTGAAGGGTTAGACACACCTCTAGTGGCTAACTTCCTGACAGCGACTCCAGGCGCTTTAACCCTAGAACCAAGTCAAACTCTGCCCTCCAATAAAATGCTGCTCATAGCAGCATTTGTTTGGAGAAACACTGAGTTTGACGCGCATGCATATCTTGTCCACACGGTGAGAAATCTTTAGTTAAAGGTATTCTCCAGTGCCAGGAAAACAAATCCGTTTTCCTGGCACTGGAGGATCCTGGAGTGCCCCATCCCATGTCGCTGAAGGGGTTAAAACCCCTTCAGACACTAACCTGAATCCAACGCCGATGTCCTTTGGCGCTGGGTCAGGTTCTGCCCACGCTTCTCCCCTGCCGACATCCGCCATCGCATTCACGCGCATTACACCTCACCATAGGAAAGCATTATTCAATGCTTTCATACGGGGATTCCCGTGACACTGGAGGTCCTCAAGCAGAGCGTGAGGACGTCCAGCGTCATTTAGATGACCAAAAGTCATCTAAGAAGCCAGAAGTCCCTCTAGTGGTTGTCTGGTAAAAAAAACTGCAATAATTACTTGCAGGGTTAAGGGTGATGGGAGCTGAAGTGGTCTGTGTGCCTACAGTGTCCCTTTAACTTTAATTTTTACTATCAAATGGGGGTGGACAATGGTTACGGAGATTAAAGGGAACTTATAGACCGAAAAACAAGCAAACCTATATTAATGATTAATGATTCAAACGATATTAAACAATGTTATTTCCAGGACTATAGGCTCCCTTCAATCTTAAAAGAGTACCTGTCATGCCTATGATAACATATGCTATTTTTAAAGAGGAAACAATTCTATCTATACATTGGCTACTAATTTTGCTAGCAAAGGTATTGTTTGGATCTATTCATACATTAAACATTAGTAAGGGACTACTTTTTCTTATGACGGGTGTGATCATTGGTAATCGTTGGCAATAAGCAGATTAAAGCAGCTCTCACTTTGTAGATGTTGTTTTCAAATGAATTATTTTTTGTATCTTTTCTTCACGTTATCGTTATTGTTTTTGAAATTCACATAAGAAAATGTAGTGACTACTGCTGCTGGTATTCTTGTCCTATCTGGCAAGTTCTGACAATGTATCTACATACATTTATAAATGCTCATTTGGTTACATATATAAACAGATTTTGCATATATGTAACCATGTGGAAGCCAATCGGGAAGGCCATCTTGGGAAGCTGTTAATTTCTAAGTTATGTTTTATGTTGATATTATTATTATATTTATAAAGCACCAGAAAATTTCGTAGCGTTTTACAATGGCTGGACTAACAAACATGTATTTGTAACCAGACAAGTTTGACTCACAGAAACAGAGGGGTTGAGGGCCCTGCTCAATGAGCTTACATGCCAGATGGAGTGGGGCAAAGTGACACAAAAGGTAAGGGTAGTATTAGGGAAGAAGATTGGTAGAATAGTATTCAATGAAGACTTAGTGTGGTTTAGTTTTTTTTAGCCATTTACAGTTTAATTGATACGCTTTTGTGAAAAAAGTGATTTTTTAAAATTATTTTTTGAAGGAGTGGAGACTGGGTGAGCATCTAACTGAAGAGGGAAGGGAGTTCCACAGGAACGGTGCAGCCCTAGAGAAGTCTTGGATGCAAGCATCAGAGGTGGGAGTACAAAAAGAGGATAGACGCAGGTCTTCAGCAGAGCGTAGGGGCCTAGACGGGACATACTTGTGTATTAGGGAGGATTGATAGGTGGGAGTAGCATTATGTAGCGATTTGAAAGCAAGCAAGCATTTTAAATTGAGCCCTATATCTTACGGAAAGCCAATACAGGGACTGACAGAGGGGTGAGGCGTGGGAGGTGCGGGCGGAAAGGAAAATGAGCTTCGCCGCTGCATTCATTATCGACTGCAATGGGGCCAGTTGGGAGCAAGTAAGACCACTGAGAAGCGGATTTCAGTAGTCAAGGTGAGAGAGGACAGTGGCATGGGCCAGCACTTTTGCCGCATCTGGCGTTAAGTAGGGGTGGATACATGCAATGTTTTTGAGGCAGGATTTGGCAATCAACTGGACATGAGGGGTGAAGGAGAGGTCGGAGTCAAAGGCGGTGAGCCTGCGTGGTGGAGCTGATGGTAGCACCATTAACGTGGAGGGTGACAGAAACGGGAGTAGCAACACTTGAGGGAGTTGAGCTTAAGGAAGTGGGCAGCCATCCAATTACAAAATAGCAGAGAGGCAGTCAGAGACACTAGTCAAGAGGGGCGGGAGAGATCAGGGGAGGACAGATAGATTTGCATGTCATTTGCATAGAAGTGATATTGGAAGCCAAAGAAGCTGATGAATTTACCAAGGGAGGCAGTATAGATCGAGAACAGTAGGGGACCAAGGACTGAACCTTGGGGGACACCAACAGAGAGGTTGGGAGGAAGAGGCAGAGCCATAGAAAGAAACACTAAAAAGGTGGTGGGTGAGGTAGGAGGAGCACCAGGAGAGAGCAATATCTCATAGACCGAGATTACGGAGGATGAGACGAAGCTGTATCAAAAGCAGCGGAAAGGTCAAGGAGAATTAGGATAGAGTAGGCCATGAGATTTTGCAGTAAGTAGATTGTTTCATACTTTGGTAAAAGCCGTTTCCACAGAGTGCTGAGCGCGGAAACCAGACTGAAGTGGGTTGAGCAGAGAATTGGAAGTCTGTCAGTCTCACATACACAAGTCTTTCAAGGATCTTGGACGCAAAAGGCAGTAGCAAGATAGGGCGGTAGTTTGAGTTAGGGTCAAGGTTGGGCTTTTTTAGAATCGGGGTTACAGTTGCATGTTTGAAGGGTAATGGAAAAATGCCAGATTTAGAATTTTAGTGAGAGACAAACCAAGAGAAGGAGACATAGTATGGATGAGATGCGAGAGAATAGGATCAAGGGAGCACGTGGTGGGGCGGGAGGAACTAAGTAGATTTTCACTTGTTTTTTTTTTTTTTCACCTAGCACTTTTGGGTGTAGATAGGTGGATAAATATTCTTGTTTTTTTCATTATATTTGTTAAGTTTTGACAAAGGGAGAGGTTAAACTAAGTTCCATTTCAGTACTAAAATAGTTTACCCATAATCCATCAGGCAAAATAATCCCACAGAAGGGCAAACTGAAGACATCATGGACTGTCACAAAAAAAGCCTGGTATTCCTCTGTCCTAGGCACCCGCGACGCCCTGGAGGTTGGTCTGTGGAAGTCATTGTGTCTGTGGCTTCTGCTCCCAATTAGCAGCCTCAGCACCTGGGAAACCCGCAGCGGTCATTCTGCCATCCAAGATGGCGGGCTCTATGTGGAGGAACTGGTTGACGTATTGGAGGATGGAGTTGGCATGGTGGGGGCAGAGCAAGAACAATGATGTAGCCAAGAGAGACGTGATCTCTGGCAAGTTATGAGCAGAGGTTAAATAAAGTTCCATTACAGGTGCTAAACTAGTTTACCCACAATCCATCAATGCAACAGAAGGGCAAACTGCAGAGAGAGGAAAACAAAATTGTGAAACCTGGATATTGACAACCAGTGCAAGGACAAAAAGATATATAGATTTATAGACATAGGAAAAAAGGCAAGTGGCAAGGAGTAGTATAATTATGAAGATACAAGGGACATAAGAAAAGAAAACTGAAATAATAAAAATCATGCAACTGCTCCTTACACTGCATGCTGAAGGTGTTATATATTCTTTTTTCCCAAAAATAAAAAGCAACATATTAACTCATCTCACAGGGTTATATGGGGCATGCCGTTTCTGCAATTAGGGCAGCAATTCCAGTCATCAAACATGATTTGTGGAACCGCTGTCTACTTTTGTTTATGGTACATGGTGTATCGCTTGAAATTTTGTGTTGTTTTTATTATAAAAAGAAAAAAAATCTAAATAATTCCAGGTCGTGTTCCAGCTGCAGAATGACACAGTTGCAAATTCAATCCTGACAAATTTAACTCAAAAAAGAAAAGAAAAAAAACAAAAACAAATGTAAAGCCTTCCCTGCTGCTCCTACTCTTGTCTTCACCCTATAGAGGAACAAATTTCTCCACCAGTATGCAAGCCAACCCCAATACCTGGTACACTCACACAGTAAACTTGCTATAATGTACAGGTCTTTAAAGGCCATACACAAGTGATTCTGCTGTGTTTGGTGTATGCAGAGGCGAACATACCAGGGTCGCGGCTGTGACCGGGCCCGGCCCACCAGGTAGCCCAGCCGCCCTGCGACCCGGTATGTATGCCAGTGTGGCCAGTTTCTTCTCTTGGGGGGCCTAGGAGCTGGCCACCTCAGGGCCCCCCGAGGCTGGCCCTGGTGTCACCGCACTGATACCGGAGCCAGAAGATGAAGTCATCTTCCGGCGCCGGCATCCCTACGCGACGTGCGAGGGAGCTGAAGAGGAAGCACTCAGGGGAGAGTGCTCCCTCGCGCGCCCGCCAGCCTGCCTGCCCGCCCTGTGATACCACTGGACCCCAGGGAATCCCCTCAGCTCTCCAAAAGGTAGGGAGGCTGGGGGGATTAAATAATAATAAAAAAAAAGTGTGTGTGTGTGTTAGAGTGTGTGTGTGTGTTAGTGTGTGTGTTAGAGTGTGTGTGTGTTAGTGTTTGTGTTAGAGTGTGTGTGTGTGTGTTAGAGTGTGTGTCAGTTACTGAGTGTGTTAGTTTGTGTGCGTCTGTTAGTGAGTGTGTGTTTTGTAAGTGAGTGTGTATGTGTCTGTCTGTCTGTTAGCTAGTGTGTATGCCTCTGTTTGTGAGAGTGTGTGTGTGTCTTAAGCACTTACCTTTCTCCAGCGCCGGACTCCCTTGGCGCTAGGAATCTCTCCGCCCGATCCGTCTCTCTGAATGCACATGTGTAGCAAGAGCCGCGCGCGCATTCAAACCGCCCATAGGAAAGCATTACTCAATGCTTTCCTATGAACGTTCAGCGTCTTCTCACTGTGATTTTCACAGTAAGAATCGCGGAAGCTCCTCTAGCGGCTGTCAATAAGACCGCCACTAGAGGCTGGATTAACCCTCAGTGAAACATAGCAGTTTCTCTGAAACTGCTATGTTTTCAGCTGCAGGGTTAAAACTAGAGGGACCTGGCACCCAGACCACTTCATTGAGTTGATGTGATCTGGGTGTCTGTAGTGGTCCATTAAGTGTATGTGTATCTGCATGCACTGGCGTACACACTACGGTCACAAGGGTCGCAGCTCTGCAACCCCTGCGACCAGGTGCCCGCCGCCATGTGTTGCGGCCCCAGCACGTGCAGAGTAAGCGTGCGGGGGGGCCCACGGGTCAGTTTTTGCACCAGGGCCCCATGGGTTGTGTGTACGCCACTGGGTGTATGGAAAGCCTCTCACCCCGGGCACAGGAAAGACAGGCCACCTCTAGTTGGCCCCACCCCAACCTCAAAGTTGGCAGATTTGGGGATTGTAAAATGTCTTGCATGCGGCTGCTGCCAGAAAACAAAATGGGTATGGGAATGGATAGACGATAACTTTAAGGCAGAGAGACACTACAGTGTTAGGAATACAGTTTAGAATTCCTGAAGATATAGCGTTCTTTTAAGAGGACATCAGTGTCGAACAGCATTCGACATGAATAAGGTTTTCTACCATAGTGAGAATTGTTGTGAATCCAATGTGAATTTCACATTAAAGCAAAACTAGCTGAACCGTAAAAAAAAAAATCTAGGCTTACAGTTTGACTACTTTGGCTTAAATTTAAAATTCACTTTGAATCCCCAACAATTCCCACTATAGTGAACATCCCTTTAAGACACAGAAATATTGGTTCACTCTGGACCCAAAATGCAACCTCCCTGGATTCCTTGCTCCATTGGGTTCAGACGTCCAGCACTTGAATGAAAATCTGACACACACTAAAGAAACAAAATCATGTATATTTAATTTACTAACTTGCCCTATAGCGCAAAAACAGATCGTACGTCAAAAATCTCCAGATGAAAGGCAAACCATAGGTGCAATTACAATTATTATTTTTTCTCTCTTCATCTATAGTTCGTGCATTTTGCACGTTGGTTACTAGATAATGTGTATCTCTGCACCACCAAATATAACTTTAATCTTAAAAAACATTTGTTAATTAAACACACAAGACATATAAACACCATTACTTTAAAGTGTTAGCGTAATTGAATTATTGCAAGACCTGCCGAGCACATATAAAATTTATATCTCCTGTATGATTGGGATTATTTAATACCTTAATATGTTGATACATTAATATAAAATATTGAATACTCTTGTAATACCCTTTTTTTCAGAAAAATGATTTTCAGGATTTGCTCTCTTTATCTAATTCTTTTAGACTTGATAAAAGGAAATTTTCCTAAATGCTTGTTATTTCATACTTCTTTATAGTCCAATAAACACATTAATATATATCGCAATACACTTTTATATAAATTTTGCATTACTAGCCTAATACAGATACAAAAAGAACTTCACTATCGGTTTAAAAAATGATATGGAATTTATAGTTATATCATCATATAAGCTCTTACCCTTTTTTTATATGAGAATTTGTTTTTGATATGTCAAAATAATTGTATATTTTGTGTTAACAGTTTAAAGAGAAATATAAAGTGTGATACATCTTCTATATTAATGAAATTACTCTAAAAATTAACATTATATAGACATGTGCAATTCGGTTTGGTCCAAATGGAAATTTGGACGAATTTCGGACATTCGAATGCTTCCGAATTGCCGAAGTCCCGAATTTTGAAACGCCTAACCGAGCCGAATAATTTTGCCATGCACATCCCTAACATTATATACAAATCCACATAGTTATAGATGGTTAATTCTCACAGTACCGAACATTGTTATACAGATGCAATAAGTAATACAGTAGCATCCCCTTCATTTAATGTATTTGAATATAGTGTTTGCACTGATTAACATGGCTTCTCACCTGTGTGTCACTACATGAGTACACACCATATAATACACCATGATTTGTTAATTAAACTACAATATGTTGTAAGGAAACAGATCAAGTCTGTATAGCAATCAATATTGTTGCCCTGTCTTTCAATTTTAAAATATTGATTGCATGTAAAATCAATAGCATTTTTTATGTACTATTCTCTAATGTGTATAAAAATTACTAACATGTCGAAAGCAATTTAGAGATGTTCATTGGTCGTAGACCTGAGTGAATATTTCAACATAAATATGACTATATAAAGTCTTGTAAACATAACAAATAGGCAAAATATTCAAATCTGAATAAAATCCTGCACTTATTCATGTCACACTGCATCAAACTATGTGATCTAATAAATTTGCAAATGTAGAGCATATTTTACTCCAAACAACCAGTTATGTTGATATTATGTAATTCGCATCTGCTGGAAGGTCCATAAGATTCTTACAATCATCCACACCTCACAGCAATGGTGTCACCAATACTTGTTTGTTTTTAAACTTAATAAAATATGCCATTGTGAGTTTAGGGTACCCTTTGGAGTTGGCGTGTGAATGCAGACACTCTTTGAGTCCCAGCTCTTAATTAATCTCTTGATCTTATGCAATAAATTGCTTTAAATAATTTGAATAAGAAATCCTGTGTGTAGGCAAAGGTCAGGACACAGCTGTTTTGGGAGATATTCCCCATGAGTAGTGACGCTGTGTAATCAATGAACTCACAGTTTAGTGTTTAGCTGCTAGGCAGGTAGGTCGGGCTGTAATATATATGTTAATGACCGTGTATAAGTTTAACCTTTTCTATATGAAATGGTGAGCAGGGGAGGGGTTTTCTGCTGCTGTTTAAATATGAGAGTAATAACATAACACTGAGCCATTTAATATCCACACACCTCATAATACCACTGTTTATTTATACAAAACCTGCATGACTGTTTGAGATACCTGATCAAAACTAAGTACATAGGAGAGGCACTATTCAAGCTCCAAGATTTTTGGTACCTGTGCCATGAGTAAAAGTCCTTGCTCCAAGGTTCCAAAAGTAATTCTAAGATTTAAAGCTCCAGCACTCTAATTCTAGGTGCAACGTGTGTTTTATTCCGCCATCCCAAATTACAGACAACGTTTCGATACGATGTTTGTCTTTATCAAACCTTGACAAAGAAACACATTGTGTCAAAATGCTGCCTGTCATTTGGGATGGCTGAATAAAACACACATTGCACCTGGAATTACTGAGTGCTGGAGCTTTATTTCATAGATATATATCTTATACAAGATCCACGCACTCGCTCATTCACTGAACAGGAATTTCAAGTCTCACAGAATGTAATAGTTTTATTTAAAACTCACCTCACCTGTCAAGAATGGGGTCCACTGTTGTTGTGGCAGGCTTATGCAATGTCTGATCAATCATAAATTGTAACTTAACCCCCATTATTTTTGCCTAGATGAGGTGTTTAAACATTGTGTGTGTGTGTGTGTATATATGTCTCCTTATTTTGGTATTTTCTTGTTTTAAATATGACAACTTTTATATAAAAAGAGAGAGAGAGAGGGAATTTGACTTGAAGTAAATTCTGCATATAAAGTGTCTGGTACTTGGCCATAATAGATTAGGTCATTTTAACACTTTTCTAGTGGTGTTATGTATACATTAGATTATAATTAATCCGTCATTAATATGTATGAATACATTCTTTGGGGCAATGTTTGTACAATGAGAATGACCCGTTCTATAGGTTAAGCAATGTGTTAATATCTGGGGATACATCCTGGACAATAATCTGGACTCCTTAGGGTAAAGGTGTGCTAGTCTGTTATTTAATATTGGAATAAGTCCCTATTTTCTGCTATTTCTGGCTGTCTTTAGCTCACTTTCTTTGTAATCATTTTTTGTTTGGCTATCACTGGCCCTCTTTACTTTTACGAGGAAGCGACATTTTAACACATTTTATGAGTGACGTGCTCAGATGGGACTAAATGAAACCTCAAATTAAATCTGGTCACTAAGTTGTCTCAGTAACAAAATATTTGAATACAGTATTACTGCTAGGGTTAAAGTGTTGATCGAACCGCATAGCATTCTTGAACACATATCACATCTTCGTATTTCATTGTTTCAGTTGAAACGAGTAGCATGTGTATAGTATTCATATGCTGCAAGATCAAACTCAACTCATCGGGGCAGTTCCTTTGGGAAACTACTTCTTTGTATAATGAAATGATTTTATTTGCACTTTATAAGAATTCTACATAAAGCCAACAACATTTAATTGACGCGTGTCCAGGATACAGGGTGGGTGTGCTAATTCTCGCTGGGGTAAAAGCTAAATTGGTAGCAGCAGTGGGATTTAAGGTGTTTACTAACCTGATAATCCATTTAGTCTTCGAAATATTCTTCAAGGATTCTTTAATCCCACTGAACATTCCAAAAAGAGTTTTTACAATCCTCCTCATGCACATTACACATGTCCCTAATCTGGGTGACAATAAGATGTCACTTTTGTTCCAAACTGACTGTTTTTCTTTTTACCTGAGACCTATCACAATCATTTGAAGACTTTGTAGAGCTGAACCTTTAGCCCACCAAACAGACCCACTCCCCCTCCTGATGTGACCCACAGACCCCAATATCAGCATTCTACTCACCAATAGCCCACTGGTTGCCCCCTCTCTGAAGCAGGTTGATCTTGCCCAGTTTGCCCGTTTCCTCTGTGAACTCCACACACACAGAAAGTGATATTAGGGAGAATAGCAGTAGATGTGCTAGGAAGCTGGGAGGCAGGATTCTGGTTAGAGGGAGTGGAGCCATGGCTGAGCTGTGAGCACTGGGTGAGATGTCTGTAATAATCCCTTCTCTCTGCCCTCTGCCACTTTATATAGGAGTTGTATGGGGAGGGGGCAATAAGAGTGTGGTAAGAACACGTATTGCTCAGTGTAGAAGGTTTAACCCTGCAGTGCCCAGACTGGCTGTCTGCTCATATTGTGCAGGTGGAGGAATAATACTTGATATGCATGAAGGAGCTGAGAGATTGTACTACAGGTGCAGCTGCTCAACTCTAGTACTGACATCAGAAGGATGAAATGTAAGCCCAGCAAGGCAGTAACATATTGCAGAGAGGGGAATAACAGAGAACAGCATGCAATACAACAGCATGTAGACATGTCATAACACCCCCCATTTAATATATAGCATCCAGGGCAATACAACAGCATGTAGACATGTAATAACAGCCCCAATCTATATATAGCATCCAGGGCAATACAACAGCATGTAGACATGTAATAACACCCCCCATTCAATATATAGTATCCAGGGCAATACAACAGCATGTAGACATGTAATAACAGCCCCCATTCAATATATACATCCAGGGCAATACAACAGCATGTAGACATGTAATAACACCCCCCATTCAATATATAGCATACAACAGGGCAATACAACTATATATAGCATGTAGACATGTAATAACACCCCCCATTCAATATATAGTATCCAGGGCAATACAACAGCATGTAGACATGTCATAACAGCCCCCATTCAATATACAGCATCCAGGGCAATACAACAGCATGTAGACATGTAATAACAGCCCCCATTCAATATATAGCATCCAGGGCAAAACAACAGCATGTAGACATGTCATAACAGCCCCCATTTAATATATAGCATCCAGGGCAATACAACAGCATGTAGACATGTCATAACACCCCCATTTAATATATAGCATACAGGGCAATACAACAGCATGTAGACATGCAATAACACCCCCCCCATTTAATATATAGCATACAGGGCAATACAACAGCATGTAGACATGTAATAACACCCCCCATTCAATATATAGCATCCAGGGCAATACAACAGCATGTAGACATGTCATAACACCCCCATTCAATATATAGTATCCAGGGCAATACAACAGCATGTAGACATGTCATAACACCCCCCATTTAATATATAGCACACAGGGCAATACAACAGCATGTAGACATGTAATAACAGCCCCCATTTAATATATAGCATACAGGGCAATACAACAGCATGTAGACACGTAATAACAGCCCCCATTCAATATATAGTATCCAAGGCAATACAACTGCATGTAGACATGTAATAACAGCCCCCATTCAATAT